AAAAAAAAAAAAAAAATCTCTTGTTCAGATAACCTTATAAATAAGTGAGAAATAGATATGGTTCTAGGACAATTGATTATTCAAGAAAAAAGTATACTAAAATAAATTTCAGATGGAGTAGTTTTCATTTTTATTTATTTATTTCTTTTTTTGTAGAGACAGAGTCTCACTTTGTTGCCCTTGGTAGAGTGCTGTGGCGTTACAGCTAACAGCAACCTCCAACTCCTGGGCTTAGGCAATTCTCTTGCCTCAGCCTTCTGAGTAGCTGGGACTATAGGTGCCCACCACAACACTCAGCCTTTTTTTTGTTGTTGTTGCAGTTTGGCCGGGGCTGGGTTCAAACCTGCCATCTTTGGTATATAGGGCAGGCGCTCTACCTACTGAGCCACAGGCGCCACCCTGAATATGTATTATTTTTTTGTTGTTGCAGTTTTTGGCCGGGGCTGGGTACTAATGGAAAATGAACAAGTTAATTCAAAAAAGAAAAACAGGGCAGGGGGCGTCTGTGGCTTAGTGGCTAGGGTGCCAGCCCCATATACTGAGGGTGGTGGTTTGAACCTAGCCCCGGCCAAATTGCAACAAAAAAATAGCCAGGTGTTGTGGTGGGCGCCTGTAGTCCCAGCTACTCGGGAGGCTGAGGCAACAGAATCGCCTAAGCCTAGGAGTTGCAGGTTGCTATGAACTGTGACATCACAGCACTCTACTGAGGGCGATAAAGTAAGACTCTGTCTCTAAAAACAAAACAAAACAAAATAAAAAGAAATATAAAATGGTTTGTTAACATCTGAAAAACACTTTAGCTTCCCCGATAAAGAGAATGCCAATTAAATTTAACTATTAAATACCATTTTCAGTATATCAAATTGACAAGAATTAAAAGCCTGCTGCCAATCCAAGGCTGGTGCAGCTATCATGAATGAGGTGGACTCTTAAAGATGGTAAATGAATAAAATGCTAAAACCCTCTTTAGAAAACAATTTGAAAAGGCAGTGTTCGTAGCGCAGTGGGTAGGGCACCAGCCACATATACCCAGGCTGGCAGGTTCGAACCCTGGCCCAGGCCAGTTAAAACAATAGTGACAACAACAACAAAAAAAGAAAACAGTTTGAAAGTAAATATCAATAGCTTTAAAAATATTCAGATACTCTGATGTACTAATTCTGCTTCCAGCAATTCGTTCTAAGGAAATCATCTGAAATACTGTCAGAGATGTCTACATAAGCATGTTGGATGAGATATTTATTGTATCACTTAGGACAGCATTTGGCAGACAGAAACCTGACAGAGGCTTAAATAAGCATAGTGTTTATTCTTCTCATGTCTCAAGAAGTGCAGAGTTCAGCAGCCCAAGGCTGGTACAGCAGCTCAAGGCATGCTATGAAGGATCCAAACTCCTTGAGTCTTTCCACTTATACCACCCAAACCAAGTAGCCGCCTTCCTATGCCCCCAGATTGCTCTCATACTCAGGTTTTATGTCTGTACTCCTAGCAAGGTAAAGAGATAGGGGCAGAGGTTCATGCTGTCCAAGTCTGTCCTTTTGCATCACCAGAATTCCACTTGTTATCTATTAAGTCAACGGAGCTGAGTCATATGGCCACTCTCAGCAGGAGCTGGGGAGGTATTTTCAGCTAGACACATTATCCTCTTCCCCACCCAAAGTGCAATTCTCCTAATGAGGAAGATACAACAGGGGATTTGTTTAATTATAAAATTCCCTCCAGCTATGAATGTAACCTGGAAAAAATGCTCACAATGTACTGTCAAGTGAGAAGCAGGACAGAATACACATATTTATATAATTTTGTTTATACAAAATTACACAAAATTGTTATAACAAAATGTATTTTAAGAAAATATAATTTACATATACACACACCCCACAAGAAATAACAAATGGTAATAGTAGTTAACTTTTACAGAGTTGACATTTTAAGTCAGAGGGGTACTAATGAACAGATGTAGTTTATTAAATTTTTTCTGTATTTTCTAAATTTTCTATAATGAATTCCTTATAACAGAAAAAAATTTTATTTCAAAAAACACCCATATACTTTCCAAGAAGACTAAGTCCAAAATGTTTATACTTACTCATTTTCATCTTCATCATCAAAAGAAAGGAGGCTACTGTTTTTGATCTGCTTTTGTGAATTCTTTTTAACTGAGTCCTGATTTATTTCATCTTCATTTATCTTCTTCTTTTTTGAGGTTGCTGTTAAACCTGAATATTTTTCATCTGAGGGACGCTTGACTGGTTTTCGATACATTATTCTTCCATCAGCTGGAGCTGGTTCTTCCTCTGAGCAAAAACACATTTTTAAGAATTTTCTTCTCTCCTCATTATTTTGTCTTTATCAGAGAGTCAAACAGCAAGAAAATCTCATACTGTATTTAAGGATATCCTTGAGTCTTTTCAGCCTGGGCTTCTCCATTGCCTCTAGCTACATGCCCTAGAAAAGGCCCAATAGGCCCTGCAAGACATGCGGTCACTCCATAAAAACTCCCTTACTGATGTGTTTCTTT